AAAAAAAAAAAAAAAAGTGGTAGGAATTTTGCAGGCTGCTTCTAACCCTGCTTCTGTCCCCCAGGGGCTTTTACCACTTCCATTCTCATTCTGCTAGTAAGTGTTCCCATGCCCACCCTTCAAAGTTGGGTAGCATGATAATTTTAGTAGCTCAGATTGGTAGAGTTTTTTGGTGGAAGAATTTCATAAAGTTGGGAGTTTCTGCTTTGCAATTCAGTGGTCTGTTATGGAAACTAACCCTGCAATTTCAGAGATTTGAGAACAGGCTTTTTTGAGACTCATAGGAAGTTCCTAAACCTGGCTGCCCATTGGAATTTCTCATGTTTGTTCAAAATACACCTTACACGTACTAAATCCAAACCCGCAGAGTGGAGCTCTAGGTGTTTGGTGGGAGTAGGTCAGGGCACCTGTGTGGGACATACTAGAGGAGCTTGTTTGCAGGTTCCTGGGCGAGAGGCCAGGATGTGCAGCTGTATTGTTAGTGTAGATTTAAAGCTCTTGTGGGAGATGAGGGCTCTCTCCCGAGTTGAAGTTCCTGTTGAAAGGAAGGTTACCCACCTGTGCAAGGACCCCTTTCTGTGACCCATTTCTGTCTGAAAACCAGACAAGGCTGTGACTCCCTTATTGCTTCCTGGTAGTCCGTCCTTTAGTGAAGTCACTTTCACCTTCCTTTCTGGCCCTAGCCAAGTTAATCTTGGTCATTCCCCCAGTTCTTTGGTCTCCTGCATTCCCAAATTCAGCTGCTGTTTTGGGGCTACCCCAAGTCCTTCTCTTCTGGTCAGTGTTTCATAGACTCTCAAGCTTTCTTTTACTTGCCTCTTGCCCCGTATTAGATCTAAGGCCCTCCTCCCACTTGTGTCCTGGGATCTTTTGTCCCTTGTTAATAGGAGATGAGCCAATGACTAAGGATGTGAAAGTAGCCCCACCAGCAAAGGGGCAGAAATGTGACAGACTGAAGGCAATTACTCTTGTTTTTGCTTTCAAGGTGTAATAATCATTCTTGATCCTTACATCTAGCCTAATGACTAGTAAAACACCTTCATGAGGATGTATGGATATGAATGTAAGTTCACTAGGATTTCAAGCAACTATTTTCCAGATATCTAGGACACGCCTTTATGATGTATCAGGTCACTTGAACCTACACCAATCTGGAGTTGGTTTTGTTCCCACAGGTCCCTTATGATGTGAACATCTTACTATTAATTCTAGATGTCATTTTAAAAAAATCTCACAGCCCCCTTGATGGGGAGACAGAATAGTAGGAAATCTTCCAAACACCTTTTCCCTGGAACTAGTAAAGATCAGAATGGCCAAGAGTTATTAGTCACTTCCCCTGCTGATCTGGGGAAAAGTTACTAAGAAAAGATAGCACCAAAGGTGGGAGCAGAAGCTTAGCCACTACAGCCAATTCTAATGAGATAATCGTCCCTTAACTTTGCCCACATTTCATAGCCATCTCAGGAAATAGTAAAGCATTCTAGTTAAATGAGATCTACAACCAGCTAGCTTGGTTTTGAACTCTGGATTCACCACTTACTGGCTTAGTAATTTGGGGGAAATTGTATAACCTTTCTGTGCTTCAGTTTCCTTGTTTGTAAAAGAGAGTTGTAGTAGCACCTACCTTCCAAGATTGTTGTGAGGATTACATGAGATCAAATTCAAACACATGGAATACTGCCCGAGACAGAGTAAGTACTCAATAAATTATTAAATTATTAATAATTAAACTATTATTGTGTTTCTAGGAACCGGAGTTTATTGAAGGAGGAGGACCCTGCCGTCCTTATCTCTGAGGTCCTAAGAAGGAAGTTTGCTCTGAAGGAAGAAGATATCAGTAGGAAAGGAAACTGACAGCACTCAGCTCTGCACACTCAGTCTCATGCTCCTGGAATTCCTTCAGTAGCTGCCTTTCTCACTGCAGATGTTTCTGCCTCTCCGTTAGTTTTCTGCAACAGTCTTGCCGAAAGCTGGAGCTTGGACTGAAAGAAGAGCTGGATTATATGTTTCACATACTTCAAACCTTAGCAGAAGCTAAGGCCCAATTTGAGCTGAGACACTTGTTACAGGTAAATGTATAGATCGGAATGTTTCAGTCTAAAGGCTGAGCTATAAGTTTCAGGTTTTTCCTTGCCCTTGTGTGAAAATCGGTCCTGAATGAGTTAATTCACTGCATAGACCCCATAACTGGTCTCACAGGACACTTTGTGCCCAGCTGTCACTCTCAGCAGCTTCCTTGCAGCAGAGCAGAGCTGAGGGAGCTATCAGTGTTTATGTACATGTTCACAGGGCAGGAAAAATCCTATGCTGCTCCATCACAAACCAACACCAATGCCCAGCAATCACCCTCTCCTGTGTCCAACACCTAGATGTAGAGGTCAGGCCTCTGGACCAGCTGACATTTGGGCTGCATCTAGGAGGCCTGGGCTGTTTTTTTCTTAAATTTATTTTGTAATACTGTACAACCACATCTACCCTCCAAGGCCCTGGGGCCTCATTGGTTCCACTGATTGAACTTTTGCTCTTCCATGGACTTTAGTTTAAGCCCAGTAGGAAAGAGAAATCAGGAGGGGAAAGAAAATACCATCTTTCTTCCAGGCCCTTGACTGCTTCTTTGCATTGGGCCAAGGTTTGTACCCACACCATGCATGACTCAGACACCCTCAGGTCCCTTTCTCTGCAGTATGTATCCTGTGTGTTTGGGTTGAAGCACTACCTGACATTAAAAGAAGGATTTGGCAAGATACTGCATTTGCTGTGTCCATCTCTGAGTTAAAATCACCTAGTATCCCCCATGGGTACAGTTTTATAGTATATGAGCTTTCATTAATAGGCTCCTGGCTTCCCCCCATTCCTTTTAACGTCCTGCCTTTATAAAAGAAAACATCCTGCCCTAGCCAGTTTGGTGCAATGATTAGAGTGTCGGCCCTCGGACTAAAGGGTCCCAGGTCTGATTCTGGCCAAGGGCACGTACCTCGGCTGCAGGCCCAATCCTGGGCCCCGGCCAGGGCATGTGCAGGAGGCAACGAATTGATGTGTCTCTCTCACATCAATGTTTCTCTCTCCCTCCCCCTTCCACTCTCTCTGAAAAGCAATGGAAAAAATATCCTCAGGTGAGGAGTTTAAAAAAAAGAAAGCTTCCCTAAAAAGCTCTTGTACCTTTCTGTAGAGATATGGCCCTAAGCTCTTAAAGCAGTTCTATCTTATAACTTGCAAGCTTGCCCCTAGGAGTCTCTTAGGTACCACACCTGTATCACGGAAAACTGCTACCTGGTGGATAAAGTCTTGGGTAGAACAAAGGTCAAATTAGACTCCTGGTCAGATCAGACCCGGGCAGTGACAGCATCTAATATTAAAATGTTGCTTTTTAAAAAATAAAACTGGTAATGTTTTAATTACCATCAGAGCCAGTTTTGTAAACAGTCATTTATTTGGACTGTTTTACAAAGGGAGTTCTCTCCCACTTTGTAGAAGAGTGATATAGTCACATCCAGATTGTTATATAGCTCAGGAATTTTAAGGGAGAGATGTTTAAACAGAGAAGTTTAAAATGCTGTAAAGTCGCCATAAAAATAACAAAAAATAATAAATAAAACTGCCATCATTGTACCTTCCTCTTCTCTATCTGGATCCCTGCCCCTGTTTCCACTCAAAATAGTGTCAGGAATTAGTGGTCCCAAGCTTAGGTTGAGTACGTATGATTACAACCAGAGATTAAAAGTATACACTATAAAAAGCAATATCCCAGTTAGGCAAATGAAAGGGCAAAGAAGTGGCTCAGTGCAGCTGAGTAAGGCCCTTTAGTGGAGGGATGAATACCCCTCCCCTGTCTCCTCAGTGCTCACCAGATTCATACAGGGAATGCACCAGCCACCTTTTCTTCAGGGAAAGGCATGATGCCAACCATATTGTCTCAATAAATGTCACTACCTGCTTTATTTACACAAAGAAAATGTTCAACAACAATAACGGCTTCATCCCATACCTACCCCTTACCCAAACTACTCCCCACCAACCTCTCCCCAAGATATTTTCCTATACCTGGCATTTCAGAAAGTATTTTTAAAACCAAACCCTCAAAGATATTTAGATTTGGTGCCTGATAACTTGATTACCTTCAGAGTCCTGGGTAAAGAGCAAATCAGGCTGCAAATTTAACAGAGTGGGCCTATCCTGGCACTGAGCCCAAAGGCTGTTAGGAAACTGCCCTAAGCCCTGGTTCCGGTTGTTGGTTACCTCTCGGAGAGGAGCTCTAGAGTTGTGAGCAATGACCCGCTGGCCCTGAGAATCCTCAGTGAAAAGCTGACTCCAGGAGTCCCTGTCATTCTTTTCGCTGTCCCAGGAAACCACAGGAACAGGACAAGAACTTTGTTTCACTGCTTCTGTGTTCTCTCCACTCCAGGACTCCCTGTATGTTTGAAAGAGGTCAGGGGCATGCCTATTTTCTTTGGCAGACATCTTTTCCAATTTAGGTTTGTCCAAGGGCTGATGGCTCTTGCCCCCTAGTGGTTTACTGCGTCTCTCCATACTTTGACAGTTCTTTTTCTTAGATCCATGAAGCCATTCCTTTTTCCAGGAAGAATCCATCTCTCCCTCCTTTTGGTCCATCAAGCAAGAACTTTCCAAGTCCTGGGTGAAGGAACAAGCTAGTGACTCCTGACTCTCACCAGCACAGACTAAGGTCTCAGGCTGGAACAAAGACAGCACAGTCAAGAATGGGGTTTCCATTCTGTGGTGGCCAGAAGCCTGCACAGACTGAGGAGAAAGTCCAGCTTCCTGGATGTCTGTAGGGGTTGAAGTAGCTAAAGGGGGTGCCACACAATCATCCCCCAAGCCCTGGATCAGATGGTCTAGCTGGGTTGCATCTTTCTTAGAATCTCTGTTGGTCTGACCTTCTATATACGATGAAACGCTCCTTTGATCACCACCATTTGTCTTTCCTAGTAAAACAGACATGAACAAATGTTATTCTGCAGGAAAACTCTGCGCTGAGCAGGATTTAGCTGGCGTTTTCAGAAATCAGTATCAGCTACTATCACTACTTTGTACAGGGGTCTTAGACTCTTCACATACCTTTGTGGCTGAGCTTCCTGCTTTCAATCTCTGTATTCTCGTCTGAATGATCTTTCTAAAACAGATCTTATATATGCCTCAAATATATAGATGCTTCCCATGACCTACCTAATAAAGTCAAATATGACATATAATCAGACCACAGTCTCCTTTTCCAGCTGAGTTTTCATATATGGGGTTTGAGCTACTGATTTCCTTTCCTTCTCCAAGAATTATACTGCAGAAACTATGTTTTGTGAAAGAGTTCTCAATTTTGCCTAAGAATTCTATAGACTAGAATATACCAGAATTTTTGAATTTGAAATGGAATTTTGAAATGGAAAGTGTTTTTGGGGGAAAAAGTCTGTCCTTGTTAAAGCAAAAGAGTTTAAGTTTTTGTTTGGAGTATGGAGAGTGCATTTCGACGGTTTATGCAAAGCAATTCTGGGAACCGCACCAAGAGTTGGAGCTCTTTCACCTGGCAGGAACCTTGCTCTGCAAGCCCTAGCCTGCTCTGAATCAGCTGGTCCCCTGAAGTGGGACATGCAAGCAAAGAATCGTCAAAGGATGATGAGACACAAGCCAACTTTATGCCAACTTTTCTAAGAAAAAAACCATTGTTGAACCTTGACTAATTTGAGAAGCTTCATACAAAAATATTATCAATTAATCTTACACAAACTACTCATTGTGACCAATCCAAGACACACCTAACTAAAGGTCGGTTCCCCTATATACCCTCAATCCCAAGTAAACCCTTCTTCACTGCTCTGACAGGGAATACAAATATTTAATATTAGACTGAGCAAAACAGAACCAGAAAAGTTTGTTTGTAAAAGCATGTATGTGGCCAGGCGTGGCTCAGCGGTTGAGCATCGACCTAGGATCCAGGCGATCGGGGTTCGATTCCCAGTCAGGGCACATGCCCGGGTTGCAGTGCTCAATCAATGGCTCTCTCATCACTGATGTTTCTATCTCTCTCTCTCCCTCTCCTTTCCTCTCTGAAATCAATAAAGATATATTTAAAAAATAAAAATTTAAAAAAAGCATGTATATATTGCTTTTCAAAAGGCAATTTCTTGTTTTATAACCTCTTCTAAGAGGTGAGCTATGCACTGGTGTCTCCACTTATAAATGTTCCAGCATGAAAAAATGAACACACTTCTTTTTGCTCCCTGGGTGTGCCCAGGCAGGTCACCATACCTGGCTGCAAGGTGAAGAAGGAAGCAATGCTGGTCTGCCGAACGCCTGCAGGTGGAGTTCTTTCAGTAAAAGAGATCTTAGCCTTTCTCTCTCCAGGAAAGAGTGTTAGCATTTTGGTGTGTGACTTGATTAAATGTGTCTGAAAATGGGGAGAAAAACAATAGAGACTATTAATATCAAAACATTTGCCAGCCAGGAGAAACTCAATAAACACCAGTGGCCCCATGCTGGACCCTTGGACTCCACTCAGATCCTATTTCCTAGGTAGTTTTTGCTGTACACCATCTTCCACCATTTCCTGCAATACCGGTGGTGTGTTTTTCTCAGGAATCACATTCTAACTATAACCCAATCTTTCTGCTTCCTCATTGAAATCAGGCCAACTAAACAAATAGGATTTGTTAAAAGGATTCCAGGGATGAATTTATAGTTAAGACAATGATTCTATCAGCAGCAGTTGATGAATTTCGATAGTTTTCAGAGTCCCATAGTGGTTAAGAGCATGGCTCCTGCGTCACACAGCTTGGGTTCAAATCAATCCCAATTCTGGCACTGCCATTTAGCTGTATGACCCTCTGCAAGCTGCTTAATCTCTCCGTGTCTCATTCTCATGTGAGAAATGGGGACACATGACATTACCTATCCCACTGGGCAGTTATGAGGATTTGGTGAGTTAATTCACGAAAAATTCTTACACAGTCCCTGCCACTCAATAATAGTTGCATTCAATAATAGAAGGAAAAGCAATGAAACAGCATCAGTCTTACCAAACTTTCATTTCAGGCCCCTTTATACCACACAGCATGAAATGGAAGATGGGCCAGAGAGGTTTTGGAAGTGTCAGCTTTTATAACCTCATCTTTATTTAGTGTGATTTGTTTTTATTTCTATTTGCTTGTTGTGGAATGCCTGAGAAGTAGGGAGAATAGAGTTGTATTCAATTCATTTTGGCTGTAAAAGTCAAGGAAGAAATGGGATTTGCCAATATTCACGCAGCAAGTTAGAAGTAGGCATGAAGCCTGAACCCAAATTATTAATTCTAGCCCAAAGCTGACTTCATTTTATTTTTACATCTGGAAACTAAAAAACTTAAGTGGTTAAATGAAAAAAGAAATTCTGGATTTAAAATTCATACTTTGACTTGTGATATTGGTATAGAACTTTCCCTTTTACTGTACAAAACTAGAAAACTGGGTAAGTTAAATGAAACAACTGATTTTAGGCAGTGGATAACAGACAGTGCAGGACTGTGATCCCGGAAAAGGATTTTTGAGAAGGAAAACAAATGAGGTAAGCCCCATGCCCTAGCTTTCTTCTTGGAAGCACTTGCCAGACTGCAACGTATAGAGTACCAGGCAGAGCACCACAGTCTCAATGAATGGAGTAAATTTAGATTAGAAGTTGAGGAAACTGAGGTGGCTGGGATTTTCCAGCACAGAGAAAACATTCAGGAATCTACATAGAGATCCCTTCAGGCTGTTACTGAATACTAACCTACACTTTGTTAGATGATACCCAAGGGCCAGAGCTTCCCAGCACTTCGGCTCCGAGTTCCCGACGAGTCTCCCGGACGGAATCGTCAGAGCGCGTTTTCTCTCCGCCCCGCCCCACACCTCGAGGCCTGGGGTCCCAGTCTCTGCGAATCCCCCCCGTCTTCCTTCCGCCCCCACTTTCTCTCCACCCTCCCCAAACTCCACTCCCTCTCGCCTTTGAATTCCCGAAGCTCTTCCTTTCTCAGTCCCCGACTTTACCTTCATCACCTCCGGGTCCCCCCCAAACCGCCCCTAACCCCTCCCCAAACCCCTCACGCTCCCACCGTCCCACCTGCACTTTCCGCCTCTTCAGCGCCGCCGCGTCCAGCCACACGCCGCAGGCCTCCTCCTCCTCCTCGGGGCCTGTTCGCCTCATGGCCGCTGAGGGCACCAAGCCAACCCGACGCGGGGCTAGGGCCCGGCCGCCTCAGGGAACAGCCCCCGCAGCCTCGGCTGGCGTTCGTATCTCGCGCCAACTCCGGGGACGGAGCTACGTCACGGCCGCCCCGGCGCACGTACCGCCCCCAGCGTCGGCTCGGGCCCGGACCAAGCTCCGCCCCTTTTCCTAAGCCCCGCCCGACGCTGAACGACGACCGCAAACCCATCCCGTCCTGCGTGAAGCGCTTTTCCCGTTGCCAAGGGCGACGTGTTCTCTTTGCTCTTTTCATTCAAGGGTGTGTTCCGGGAAATAAGCGTTCGCCGCTCTGCACAGGAACCGTGCATTTTCTTTTTGCCGAGTTAGTTGTGCTTTCTTATTGTAAATATAACCACCCCGGGGCTCAGGGTTTTCCTCGTCTCCGAGAGGAAGGGTGGAGTGGAAGCTCCGATCCGACTCCAAATCCGAGGTCCACACCACCGCCCGAAATGGTGAACATACTCTCGAGTTTATTAATTGTGTAATTCAAAGAAAGAAAATCTAAGCTTAACTACGAAACCACATGGGAGAGGATTTCGAAAATGTTAAGATGAAAACTAAAAACTTGGAGTCAAGAAGTAGCTTTCGGTCCCACCTTCATGGCTTACTGTGTGATTTTGGATTTTAAAGATCAAGTGAAGTGATGTTTGTGAAAGTACTTTGTAAATTCTGAAAGCCTCTCAGAAATGCAAAAATGATGGCATCCCCCTGTCCTTCCATCCCTAACCACAGTCTTTACAGATGTTTTATATATATGTATGTATATATTTCTTAGAAATTTGGGGGGTTTTCTTATCTGTACTTCCTAACTTTCCTTCGCTGTACATATATTGCTTGTGTACTCTGAAAAAAGCAATATTATAAAAGTTAACATGTAGCAATACCATGAAAAGTCATAAAATCCTCCTCGACTGAAGGAAAGACCAAAAAATGAAATTTATCAAATTACAAAATGGGATATGTATATTTTTTAAACATTCTTTTAACTTCTAAAAATTACTTAAGAAAACTGCCCCCCACTTCCATGTCTCCCCCCTCCAAAAAAGTTCACACATATATAGTGTATAAGGCCCCAATGTCACCTCAGGGAAAGATAAAACAAACAAAACCGCACCATGAGAAGGCCCATGGGTCTCCCTGGAACAGGAGACAGAAAACAAAGAGGCAGCTGTTGTCACAGTAACTTTATTGCATCCAGGACATACCAGAGTCCAGGCCACCCCGAGCTCCAGTCCCACTGGACTCCTTCCATACCTCCCGGCCTTTGTACAGGTTTTCCCCTCTACCTGGAATGCCCTTCCTCTTCCCCAGCTGCAAACTCCTATTCACCCTTCCCAACTCAAGACCCCGAGGCCCCAGGCCATACTGATTACCCCCTCCTCAGTGCTTCCCCTGACAGTTCATTCCAATATTAAAGTCTCTGATTCTGCATTGAGCCACATGGGCCCACTCAGTGGCCTGCGTCTGAGCAGAAGCCCTGGGAACACTGAATGGATAACTGAATCGTGGACAAGGGAACCAGGAGAATGACTGAGAACAGAATGCATGGAACACAGAGGCCAAAGCTAGGAGGGCTGGGCTCACTGTCCGGGACAGTGACAGAGGTATGGGGCACTCGATGGGATCCAACTGCACCTGGCACAATCTTTACCTTTGGGGGCTCTGAAGCTCCAAAGCTCCAGGCGTGGGTTCAAACAATGGTAATATCCTGCACACATTCTGGCCCTGCCCTTTCCCTATCCACCAATGAAATCTGGGTACATGGGAGTTGCTGAGGCCTCCTCTGCCTCTCAGATCAAATCTAACTCTGGCCTAAATTCCACCGCCACCCCCTCCCAGACAATCTGGAAGCCTCAAACCAGAATCCTGGCCCCAGCTGACCCTCCTAGCCTCAACCCGAGTGAGAGGCAATCAGAGGGGGCAAACCAGGGTGGCTGCATCTTCATCTCTTTCTCTCTCTCAAGTCAGGGAGCTAGGGCAGGCCCAGGAGTTGACCCCAGCAGCTCCAAGTCAATCCCTAAATCCAAGCACTAGCCAACACCACCCTTGGCAGCTGAGGCGTACGCACAGAGTCACCGTAATCCAGACACAAACAACTTTACCAGGCCTTGTTCCTATGTGGAGCCAAGCCTGGACCCCTGGGCTCCCACTCTACCTCCCTCCCTACCAGCTGCCACCTCCCTTCACTGGGTCTTCTGATCCAGTTTGCGCCGTACCAGCTGGCTCAGGAGGAACGCGGTGAGGACACTGCTGCCCACGGTAAGCAGGAAGAGGCCGGAGAAGTTGTGGGGCCAGCGGGTATGCAGTGGCTCATATATGGCCCGCCGGGCCTCATAGTCCAGCGCCACAGCCTCCAGCTGAGCCAGTGTGCACAACACCAAGAAGACATGGAAGAGCTGGTGGCCCTGCCCAAAGAGGTGGCAGCTGCCAGGGAACCAGCGCTCAGGCATCAGGGCCGAGAAGAAAGCAGCAGCCAACAGGAAGAAGACGACCTGGCACTTGTGGTAGAGAAGAGCAAGGTCATCCGTGGCAGGGTTGGGGGACACCAGGATGCGGTGTGCCACCGGGCTGATGTCCAGCGCGTAGGCGAGCGCCGAGGGCACCTCCTGGCACGTGCGGCCCAGCAGGCCGGGCTTCTGGATGTACTTGTTATAGCACGAGCCGGTGCAGGAAAGCCAGGCGAGAAAGGCGGCCGTGGGCAGGAAAATGGTCTGCACCTGGGCGTGCCAGGCAGGCTCGATGGCATAGTAGAAGTGTGCCAGGGCACTGCCAAACTGGTACACGGCCACACCCACGTAGTCCAGAAAGAAGAAGCTGTAGTGCCAGAACTCGGACTTGGCCTGCAGGAGGTGAGCCAAGGCACTGAGGAAGAGGTAGGTGAAGGAGGCGAGGACGATGATGAAGAGGGGCAGCGCATGGGGGTCTCCCCAGAAGTCCACGGTGCCCACGAAGACGGCCAGCCGCAGCAGCAGCACCAGGGCCGCCAGCAGGTGGGTCCAGACGTTGACCGCCTCGTTGTGCTGCTGGAACAGCGTGCGGAAGTAGAAGCGCCACGTCTGGTGCAGCGGCCGGTAGCCCGCGTAGATGTACGGCTTCCAGAAGAGGCGGGGCACCATGGCCCGGTCCACCGTGAACACAGGCTCTGGCTGCGCCGGCCGAGGCTCCTGGGGGACCTGCCACAAACTGGGCAGGAGGTGGCCAAGCTTCTGGGCCACCATGGTGGCCATGGCTGTGGGCTGGGGAGGGAGCTGGGGGACGGAGCAGAGCAAAGTCAGGGGCTGGTGGCCTTCCCCCCTCGCCCCCATGCCCTCCTCCCTGCCCCCTTATCCCCACACTGACTTTCAGAAGAAAGGAGTCGTCCCGAGGGAAAGCTTAGCTCTGACTCATGACTGTCCTGCTCCCTGATGTATCCCAAACGCCTAGAACACTGCCTGGCACATAACAGGTGCTCAATATTTGTTTGAGGAATGCATTAATTAATAAGGTTCAATACCTCAGCCATTTCTTTTCTAGTCCAAGCGCCACACAGCAGCCCCCATTGTTTTCTCCTGTGTTTACGCCGCCATCAGTGCTCACCTGGTGGTGACAATGACCTTGCTAACAGACCAGCTGCCTCTATCTTTAGCCCCTTCAGTCTCCCACTGACCCTTCATTACCTTACATGATCTAGCCCCTGCTACCTTTTCTAGCCTTACTGCTCAACCACAATGCATTCAAATCCAGCCACAGCCTCACCAACCCCCTGGGCCTGTTTCACATATCTATATCTTTGCATAAGCTGTTCCCTCTACCCAAAACATTTTCCTCATCTTGCCTATCTGGCAAACTTATATTCATCCCTCAAAATCCATTTCTTCTGTGATATTTTCCCTGGCCCCTTGAACCTTGAATGATGACCTCTCTAGTTGAGTTCCTACCATCAGATACATGTCCTTTGACCATACAACACTTCTCATGGGCATTAAAATTGTTACTGTGAGCTCATTGAGGGTAGGCAGTTTGTCTTACTATTTTGTGAACCCCTGATGCTTAGCAGGTGGCTGACACTCAACGTATGCTGAGTCAAAAAACAGCAGCATCCTGATAATACTTCATACCCTTCAAGGCCCAACTAAAAAAGCCACTTTTTTGCTGAAAGTCCCCAGGAATAACTGATCCTTATAAAAAGAGCCCTTTCCCTCAGCCATATCCCCCACTCAGGAGTTCCCTCCTCCAGCCCTTCCACCCCAGCCATGGTTGCCAATTCCAAAAAAATCAAATATAACCCCTCACCCCAGCATTCAAGGCTTCATGACCTGCTCCCACCCTCATTTTCCAGCTAACACAAATGTCACACCCTATACCAACTGCCTTTCCCTACATAAGCTGCCACCTCCAGGGGCCCTCCTTACTGCACCCACCCACTTTCCCCTGTGGGAAGCTTATAATGGGTTATACAATTTAGCATTTAAAATTCATTCATCCATTCATTTAGCAAACTCTGAGCTCCTCTTCTGCCTCAGGTCCTGTGCTGGATCCAGGGAGGGCAGAGTGGAAAAGTGAGCACTGCCCTCAGGAACATCATGATATGGTAGAGGTTTTCCTTTTAGAAAGGAAAACAAATCATAGCGAATACTTATACAACACTTGCAATGTGCCAGGCACTGTTTTAAGCACTGTGATTGACTCATTTACACTTCCTAATACGCTGTGAAGTTGATACTATCTTTATTCCCATTTTTTGGATAAGGAAACTGAGCCACAGAGAAGTGCCCTACTACCCACCTGGCTGGGAAGCAGCAGAGGTACAATGAAAATTCTGTTTCCAATCTTAACCATTACCCTAAACTGCCCTTTGCAAGATAAGGTAGCAAGTGCCATTAATCACTTTGTAATTATATGCTATAGTTTTTTATAGCATTTGCCTGGTACCAGCTGCTTTATTCAGGCTTATCAATTATTCACCGTGTCATTCATTAAATCAAATATCTACTGAAAAACTAGCACCTGCCAGACAACTCCCCTCCGTCAAATAAATTCCCTCCAACAAGCTTACTGAACTCAGCATCCAGGTTTTCTGTCCATCATTCATCAGATTTTATTACAACTACCTTTGCATCAGATTTTATTACGGCTACTCTTGCACTGCAAGTGGCAAGGAGACCTGGGCAGGAAAAGTATTCATGTTCTCTGCCACCAGCAGCACCAGGGTCACCCCAAAACCACTCAGTAATTCCCACACGGTCCAAGTAAATGTAAAGAGCTTGCTATGCAAAGGCATCATCAAGACAAGCCCCCAGGCCACACTCTCCGCACCCCCAGCTGGATCTGCGTCTGCAAGCGCCTCCCACATTACACCTCTGGCATCTCTCTGGTCTGTAGCCTTTCCTAGTTCGTAGGAAGGCCAGTGTGAAAGAAGTCATTACTCTACTGCATGAGGGATGCTCGGACAGGGGACTCCAGGACTCTGACACTTCCTATTCCCCAGACGGCCTGGCCCAGAGCAGGTTTAGGAAGCAGACCTTACTGAGGGACTAATTAATGGGACCACTTTCATCCAGAGCACAAGAACACCCTGGCCTGCCTTGGTGGTTGGGGAGCCAACATTGGACTTCTCCTTCCCAAGAAACTGAGCTTCAGCCTCAACAGTCTGGCCTCCACCCTTGTCTACAACTTTGTCTTCCCATCTCAGAACCTCAGGGAGCCAAAAAAGGCTTCTGAAAGCATCTCATGCAGCTCCTCTGTTTACACTGAGGGAAGAAGAACCCAGTGACAGGAAGGCCTTTTCCAGAATTGCCCAGTCCGATGAGGTTTCAATCCCACCACAAAGACGAGCGAAGGCTAGTTCCTGGGTCTCTGTAATGCATTATGTCAGTCAAATGCTCCATATCCCACTCTTAGAACTTCCCAAGGCATCACAGCATACTAAAGGCTCTGAGAAGTCCTGCAGCAAAGAACCTTGCTTCACTTTGTTATTGAACCTACATTTGCCAAGCTTATGTAACCAAGAATTCCTTTCCCAGTAATAATTATATTATAAAGCCAGCTGATATGTAATAAGTGTTTACAGTATGCTTACTCTTTACTACTTTGTTGCAATTAATTCTCATAACTAGCCTGTGAGGTAGATATTATTATGCCAACTTTGTTGTTGAGGATAGTGAAATTCAGAGAGGTGGGCTTCTTACCCAAGGTCACCCAGAGACAGAGAGAGAGAGGTGGGGCCAAGAGTGGACCCAGCTCTGCAGAGCACATTCTCTTAGCTGCTCTGCTGCTGCCCAGCCCCCTGTCACACCTATCTGCATCCCACAGAACGACTTTGCAGAATACTGGTCTAAAGCAGGCAACCAAATCCTTTCCTGTAAATTACTCTCTTAGGCTTCTAGCAACTGACTCACATCCAGGGACCTCAGTCTCCCCCAGTTAGCAGCTACCCACTGGCTCTGCATCAGTGAAACCCTGGCTCACAGCTACCTTCTCATTCACAGCCTTCCCCCTCTCCCCCAGGAACAGTGGGCCCTAAACACAGAACCCAGAGGCCACATACTGAGATGACAGAGGTCCTGCCATCCTGTTTCCTTTAGACCTCAGCTAGAGACCCCAGTCCATCTGAACAGGTCTATTTTCAGAATTAGTACCCACATCTTGACTCCATGACAAAGGGTCCTGGATTCAAGGGAAAGGAGCAGGGGCAGGGTTTCAGCGCGAGCTGGAAGGATGAGGGTGGGTATCCAGAGGACATCCTCAAGGCAATCTCTGAGTAGTCTGCCCACCAGGCTGCCAGGACCTGCCTATTCCAGGCAGCTTGCCCCAGCCCAGCACAGCTCCATGGCCCCTTTGCACAGCTTACCTAGGGGTTTCTCTAGAGCCTGAGGCTGATGACTTCTGCTGTGGGACTGGGCAAATTAGCCAGATACCACGCACTGGGTGGCACTTTCACAGGTAAGGGTCACTGAGGGCAGGGTTTCCAGGGACTGGAGGTATCTTGTGTGATGTCACCAGAGGGGTGGAGCTAAAAACAACCTCCACTCCTCTCCCCTCCCCCCATGACCTCTCCCACATTGGTCAAATCCAGGCTGAACTCTGCCCTCCTAGCCAGACCTCAGCTGCCAAAGGAAACTCATCATTAACCTCCGCATGAAACATGGGGGAAACCAGAGCCTGGCTGAAAAGCTAGGACTTACCCAAGAGTGCACAGCCAGAGAGGCAAAGTGGGGCTGAGATCAGGTGTCCAGGGCGTGGCTGTTGAATGTCAGGCAACCTTGACTGGCTTGTGTCCTCTATTCAGTGGGAAACAGAATAAAAGGAAGTTAGGAAGAAAAAAGAAAGCAGGTTCTATACAGGCTCATGAAGGAGATGGACTTCAGACTCAGGCAAACCAAGTTTGACTAGATTCCGTAACATACGAGCTCTGTGATCTGAGCCAAGTGATTCACCTTCTCTGATCCTCAGGCCCCTCATGGCATTACAATATTATCTACCTCACAGAGTGCCGGGAAGGTTAAATGTATTAGAACAAACTTTTAGCACAGTTTAGGGACTCAATAAACGACTGCTATTGTTATTATTAATAGTAGTAATTAATTATTAAAAATAGTAGTAGTATTGAAAATATCCCTAGCCTGACAGATTTGCTTGGGATCCTCTAAAAAAACTCAGGCCCAGCCCAACATGACTCAGCAGTTGAGCATCGACCTAGGATCCAGGCGATCGGGGTTCAATTCCTGGTCAGGACACATGCCTGGGTTGTGGGCTCGATCCTCAGTCGGGTGTGCAGGAGGCAGCCGATCAATGACTCTCATCATTAATGTTTCTATCTCTCTCTCTCCCCCTCTCCCTTCCTCTCTCCGAAATCAATAAAGATATATATAAAATAAAAAAAACAAAACAAAACAAAACAAAAAAAACCCTCAGTCCTCTTTTAGCTCTCAATAGCTAATTCCACTGGATTTGGGGCCTTCAGAAAGTTAATTGTGTCTCTTTAAATATTTACCTTTCTCTGAGGGTGCATTTAGGGACCAGGGACATTTGGCTAGATATTGGACCTCTGGGGACACTGACCTTATTAAATAAATTGTTCTCAGCAAAGACCATTCAGAGTAACCCCTCTGGATTCACAGAGCTCTGAAGATTTACACTTGCCCACAGGCCCAAGAGAGGTGGCTGGGAAATGAAACCCCCAGGGGAAAGGTGGTAGCCCCATAGCCCCAGCAGCCCCAGCAGCCCCATCCCTGAACAAGCAGGGGAAGAGTAAAGGAGGTAAACTGTGCCAGCAGGTAATCCAAAAGGCATGTGGCCTGGCCAGGCATGTCTTGCAAGTCCGGGAGGTTTTCAGGTTTGCAGAGCCTCAGACCCGAAATCTCCAAAGCCATGGTGGGAGTTCCTGTCACACTGAGCAGCTCCTTCCCCCTCTCCTCTCCCATCTCCCCAGCCTTCCCAATTTACATTCCCCTTTTCCTAAGCTGAAGATCAACCTCCCCACCTCGTTCCTCAGCCAAGGCTTGCCACCCTCTGGTCCCTCCACCAGATACACACTGTCAGAGTCCACTAAGACCTCTGGGGGCAAAACAGAGGACTAGGTTGTGGGGCGGGGTAGCAAATGCACTCTGGAGCGGGAGAGCGCCAGGTTATAGCATCCCACAGATTTTACTCAGTGTCTGCTACATGCCAGATACAAGGATCACTACCAGCACGTGTTGAATGAAACAGACAGGCTCCCTGCCCTGACAAACAAACCGAACAAACCAAATGCCCGAGGGCCTAAGAAAATCCAGCTCATCGAGAAGCCACCAAGGTGGTGACTGAGAGAACTGCTGCCCCAAGGGACAGCATCCACCACTCACCTCTGGCACACTATTTCAAAGGAAGCCTGGCGCCCATTTTTATGTGAGGATGGGATTTCAAGACTGGAACTTACCAGCTGTGTGACTTACCTCTCTGAGCCTACTTTCCTCATTTATAATCAGAGAATAACAATTAACTACCTCAAGGGTTCTTGCAAAAGCAAAATAGTCACAGATGCTGGGTGTTGGCTCTGGCACAGCCTTGGTTCCACTGTTTTTGTTGGGTTCTATTCCTGGCTCAGCCATTCAATCCCTGTGACCTTGGGCAAGTCTGTTCCCCTCTTGGCTCTTTTTCTCCAAATATCCAGGAGAGTGAGTTCACCATGACTTCAAAGGGTCCTTCAGGCCCTGAGACAGTCCAATATTTGTTTTAGGCCTACTATGTGCCAGGCCTGGAGCTTCCAAAGTGAAAAAAGCAGTTAAAATACCACCCTCATATAATCAATAGTCTAGCCCATTAACAGTTAAGGGTAACACCTAAGGATATTAATATCCTGATGTCTTGGAGTTTAATACCCTAACTAAATAACACCTAGCTATTATAAATATTATTTGGTTATAATTCCACTTCTTCTTTTGTCTCCTCTGGTATGCAAAATACAGTTGACCCTTGAACAGCACGGGTTTGAACTGCGCAAGTCCATTTACACATGGATTTTTTTTCCAATAAATAAGTACAGTACTGTAAGTGTATTTTCCTTATGATTTCCCTAATAACATTTTCATTTCTCTAGCTTACGTTATTGTGAGAATACAGTATATAATACATATAACATACAAAATACGTGTTAATCAATTGATTATGTTATTGGTAGGCTTCCAGTCAACAGTAGGCTATTAGTAGTTAAGTTTGGGGGAAAATCAAAAGTTTATAAGCAGCCTGGCCGGGCGTGGTTCAGTGGTTGAGCATCAACCTAGGATCCAGGAGCCCACAGTTCGATTCCCGGTCAGGGCACATGCCCGGGTTGTGGGCTCGATCCCCAATTGGGGCATGCAGGAGGCAGCCGATCAATGACAACTTTTTCATCATTGATGTTTCTCTCTCTCTCCCTTTTCCTTCCTCTCTCTGAAATCAGTAAAGATATATCAAAAAAAAAGTTTATAAGCAGATTTTTGACTGGGGGGGCAGTGCCCCGACCCCCTCCTTGTTCAAGGGTCAAATGCAATGTTGCTTTTCTAGGCTCTGATTGCTCAGCACACTCCCTTAGAGTCAACTTTATCTTGCCATGGAAAGCAAAGTGTAGCCTCATTAAATACAAATAATAGTAGGACCAGGCCTGTGTTCACAGTAGGATTGTCAGAGGTAAATCCTCTTGAGGGACACTGACAAGGATGACACGGTATGGCAGGGCCTGAAATGTTAATAAGATTAGGCACCAACATTAATAATTTACAGTCCCTTGCTGCTTACAAAGAACTATCATTAATAATTTACAGGGGCTTGCTGTTTACAATCCTTTCGATCTGCATCTAAACTGGTGTCACAACTCCAGAGGCAGGATGGCAGAGCACAGGGCATCCATCTAACTCTAAACCCAGTTCTCTCGTCCTTCATCCACTGTGGCCAACTCCCAGGCACTCAGTGGGTGGCCACACATTACACAGGCAAAGTTTTCATCCCTGGTTGGCAGCAACTGGGTCACCTCCCTGAATGCAAACCAGTTCCCCAACTCAGCCCAATGTGTTTAAAGAAAATGTCTTCCAAAACTGAACAGAAACCACTTTTGCTTTTTTGTAACTGTACTTAGGGCCTCCATTTGTACTGAAAAGTGTGATCTGAATGAAATAAATAACTCTTAAAGGAACTCTTCCGTGGAGCTCAGGCTCACAAATGCTCTGAGCACAGGGAAGAACCTGGAGGAAAGCAGGCCCAGAGAGGCTGGATAAGCTGGCTACAGTCACCCAGCATGGGAAACAGAAAAGAGCCTGAGTTTCACCACTAACCAGCCAGAAGCCTCCTGGGCATGAGAACTGAGGCAAGAGAGGGGCACGCTCTTACCAAAGGGCCCAGAGGTGGCACAAGCCCCACGACGGGAGGCTGGGTCCCTCCCGGGCAGACTGCTGGGCCATCCACCCAGGTGCAGCCAGGCTCTGAGAATCCACTGAACTCTCCAACTCCCCAGCCCCCGCCTGACCGGCCGCGCACTCCAGGCGGGCCTGCAGGGGCTGTCCCCGGGGAACCTCGGGGTCCTCAAAGCCGCAGGCTTGAGTCAAACGCTGTGGGCGGTGTGGCGCTCCATCTTCCGCTTCCCTTACTGCGGGGGGGGGACCCCGTGCTCTCCAGACACCAACGGAGGCTCCCCACCGCCCCGGGCCCAGGCTCCTTGGGAGCAAGAGCCCCTCTGGGCCCCCAGCGGTGCAGTTCCCACAGTTCCCGATTTCCCAGCAGGGACTCTCCTCACGGTACCCAGCTCCAGGCACTCACACCCCCTTTTGCCCCTAGAGTCTCCCTCCATTCCTCCTGGGAGGAAGCGGGAGCTCCTCTCCC